TAGCAGAGGAACGCAGGGGAGGGAGAAGCGCTGGAACCAAGTAGTGAACTCGGGATTCAGCCTATGCTCTCGCGAAGGCTGGCGCGCAGGGTGGCTCGGCTTTGCAGGGAAAAAAAACCCAGTGTGTGAGTGCTTGGCTTCCCCGCGGGATTTCTTCTGGCGCTTGAAATTAGCAAGGCTGCGTGAGCTCTAGAAGTGTTTATCCTCAGGTTTCTGCATGTGTATGGGTGTGCGCGCGCAGAGATTTTTCCCGGAGGGATCTATCTCCGTCCCTCACCCAAGAACCCAGAGACTGTGCAGAGGCCGGATCAGGTCCCAGGGCGTCGCGCGCTCCGGGAGGGCGCGGAGGGAGTCTTGCTCCACTGGCTCGCGGGCTCGGCAGGGCGCCCCTGGACACCACGAAAAGACTGATTCCCCCACTCCGCTGGCCTTGTGTCTGCACTTCCGCCGCGACTTTCGTGGTGTGTTAAGTACGTCCTCGGGATTTCTTTTACTAGCCGGCCGTTCCAGGGACCGTGACCACCTACAAACCAGGGCGCACGAGCGCGCCCTCCTGCGCCCCGGCTCTCCATCGCAGGGTTTCTGTCCAGCCGGATCTCAAGGGGCAGGCTGGTGAGCGCGTCTGGCCCTCCCGGGGAAGTTTTGGAGAAGGGGTTAGAAGAGCACAGCTGCATGCGAGCCCACTTAGATAGTTTCTAGACTATGTCGCGCAGTTATTTCTTGTGAGTTTTTGTGTTAGCTGTTGCCCGGCAGTTCCGCGTCTGCGCTGGGCGAGTTATTACAAAGACGTGCCGGCCAAAGGGTTGGAAACTCTGTTTCCCCAACCCCCAGGAGGCAGGAAGACTGGTTTCTCAGCCCCACGCCCAAACAGAAACGCAAACCCTGGCAGAAATGCTCCAAGCCCTAATCTGCTTGTAGCTCTGTGCAAGTGAAGGGCGTGCGTGAGTGGGGGGAAGGGTGTTTGTGCGAGACTCGTGTCCTTGGTCCGCGGGTGGCTGTCTCTTGGGACCACAACGAAGGACGCTGGGCTCTGCTCTGACGCCTTTCTTGGGTTGCGCGACACTTGCCGATCGTCTCCTTTTTCTCTTGCTCACAGCCAACTTTGATGCTCCACGTCAAGAACTCCCTTTTCTAAAATGCCCAGAACTCGCCTTGGGAGCCCCAGCTCTCCAAGGCTTTGCGTCTGATTCCAACTGTGGAAAACACGGGAAGGTAGAGAGAGGAACTCACCTCCAGGAAGCGAAGCTGAACCAGGAGGGGTGGCCAGTCCTCCCTTTGTCCTGCCCGTGTGGCCTCGGTGGAAGAAGGCACTGCCAAAATCGAGGGCTGATCTCTGGGGAGGTCGTGATCCTCCCCTCCACGCATGTGTGTGGATGGCACCCTCCCTGGTAGCAGATTGGCGGCTGGCTATTCCGCCCTTGGTGCTGGCATCAGGGGAAGGTGGGGCGTGGTGCCCTCACCCACATACCCGCAACCTTCCCTTCCTTGGAATGTGGGGCCCAATGGCCTAAGTCCTCCATGTGGGAGGTTGGGGTTGGGGAGCCATACCCTTGGACCTTGGGAGGAGGAACGGCCATCCCAGGGGGGTGGGCTCTCCCACCCAGCCGGAGGAAGACCACAGGAAGGCTCTCGCGCAAGGATCCCTCCCACGCCTGCTGGGTTTGGGTCCCTCCTCTCCTGTCGCCCACGCAGGCCTGTTCCACTTCTTCATTACCCTGAGCTGCCGCAAATAGAGCACTTGGGGGGGGGGGGGGGGGACAGGCCTCGGACC